ATGTTTGAGCAGCGTTCCTTAGACCGAAAGGCATTCGCAAAAATTCATAGAGTCCGAAGGGAGTTATGATAGCTGTTTTCGGTATGTCGTCAGTAGCCATAGGGATTTGGTTATACGCTTTAACCAAGTCGATTTTCGAAAAGACAGTTGTACCTTTCAAGGTAGCTGTCAAATCGTGAATGTGAGGCAACGGGTAACGATCGGGAATGGTTTTCGCGTTCAATCGCCGATAGTCACCAGTTGGACGCCAATCGTTGCTGTCCTTTTTAGGGACCATGTGCAACGGAGATGCATATGGGCTACTTGACGGTCGTATGATTCCTAAGTCCATCATGTGATCGAATTCGTTTTTCGCTAACCTTAGCTTTTCAGGAGCTAGTCGTCGTGCTTTAGAGAATACAGGTGGTCCTGTAGTCGTGATGTGATGTGTAACATTGCTGGTTACACACGGTAGTTTCGGTTGCGTTTGTTGTATCCCAGGGTACTTATCGAGTAGTGGTTGATAGAGTGGGTCTATCATATGCTTAACTGTGACTGGGGATACTCTGCAACCAGTAAAAGAAGTTACGCAAACGGACAAATTAGTGTTTCCGTCTACTAGCCTCCGTTTGCGAGTGTCGATGATCAGATTGTGGTGTTGTAGAAGGTCCATACCAATGATTGGCATAGAAACATCTGCAACAACGAAAATCCAGTGGATGGGTTTGCGTAAACCCACGTTAAGGTAAACGTACCTTTTGCCATACGTAGCGATCGGTTTTCCGTTTGCCGCCTGTAAGTTTAGAGTCGATTCGTGAAGTCGGTCGTTAGGATTTGCTGGGAGAACGCTAACTTCTGCGCCAGTGTCGACGAGGTAGCGAACTCTCGTTGTCACATCTGTGACGTATAACAGACGGCTTTGTTCGCCGGCTACGGTTGCCGTTAACGCGTGCCGGCTTGGAAGTTTCCCGAATTGTTTTTCGAATCAGTCGGTTTCGTGTTGGGAAAATTGCAGGGTTTTCTGCAATTTCTGGAAAACTTTCCATACTGGTTATGATACCAGCACCAGTCGGGGTTATCTGTCTCTCGTGGTCTAGAGACAGATCGCTTACGAGAAATGCTTCTACGTGGTGTGCGCGATCTCTTACGGTCGGTACGAAGACTAAGATAACGCGTGAGTGTGTGACATAAGTCGGTTATATCATTCTGAGTCGTTTGAGGCTTTTCTTTGACTGAAAATACCTCGGTAGTAGGTTTCGTAATTTCTAGAATGCGGTCGGCAGATGCAGCTAGCTCGTCTAAGGCGTTGTTCTGGAACGAGACCAGAACTGCTTGCACCTGTTGGGGAAGTTTTGACAAGAAGAGTTGTTTGAATAGACCTTCGTCGAAAGTTCTTGGGCCTATAACCTCTCTCATCCGTTGCAACATGTCTGTCGCAGAACCGTGTTGCAGGTCGATGTTATTGAAGAGTTGATCTAACCTTTGTCGATCGGTTAGGTCTCCTCGTTTAAGAATCGAGCGTTTTAAGATTTCGTAAGGATCGGAAACATCACTAGTAAACATACTAGGTGTTACGTACCTGTTGAATTCGCGCGGTAGTGCCTTGACTACTGCGAGGAATTGTGCACGTGTGTCGATCACGCCGTGCTCGGAGAAGTCGGCTTCTGCGTAGCAAAACCAGGCTTCGATGTTGTCGGGCCAGAAAGGCATCAGTTGAAACGAAGGTGGGGACAAGGTCTTAAGCTTGAGTACTTTAGGTGTCTGTTCAGTCATGATGAAATATGAAGTACGATAATGAACGAGGGGAAAATATATATATATCCAAGAAAAAACACGAAAAAAAATCACAATGTTTAAAAAAAATAAAAAATAAGGCAATGATATATAAAAATCCCAAAAAGGAACAGACTCACAGTTGCAATAAGGTGTACCAGATCACGACGGTCTCACCAATGATGATGTCACAGGTATTCAGTGTTTGACAACGCTTCTACCAGTAACACCTTCTAATATATTTCGTTCCCACCAAGAGAAATCAAAAGACAGAGTCGAGGAGATCGGAAGAGTATATTTGGCGATGACCAATATATCGGAATTCTCTGATCTAATCTGGCTAGCGATTGCGGTTGATGTTGAGCACGGCGTTACCACACGTGATCTGGTGCGGATGCCTGACCGAGCGCCTTCAGCTAGATGAGTCCACTAAAACATATGGTCAGCATCCAATGTCGAAAACTTACAGGGCTATTTATTTTGGGGGTTTATTTACCGCTAAAGAGGCTTCATTTAAATCGCAAAATACGAGCTCTTTACACTTAATTTGTTTAAACTGACTGGCGTTTTTTAGCAAGCAACGCTCCTCCTTTACCCAGGCTTGGGATCGGCAGTAACTCTATAACAGCTGCAGGCCTTTATAATTGTATTTTGTCAGGAAATCATTTGCCTCTTGTTCCGAAACACTGTATGGTACATGCGAGTCGACATCTTAGCTATTATCCAGATGATTCTGAAATATGCACCGCCCAGTGTAGGCAGCCCGAATGTAAGACTATAACATAGTCCCTATGGTCTGCTGTATCACTTCTGCTGATTGGAAAACCAATCAGCCAGGCTTTACTGTCATTTAACTTTGATGTCAACAGCGTTTTTCAAATTCCGACACCATCAAGATTTTCTGCATCGGAGATGTTACAAGACTCCCTCATTTCGTTTGACAGACTACGAAAATAGGGGCTACAAACCGCTAGTCCTATCCAGTGACTTCCCTCTCAACGCAGTGGTTTTTGCACTTTAGCAATCAGAAGACTACGTAAGATCACGCTCTTCTCCCAGTTTCGAACTCTCTCATCTATTGAGAGTCCTACAGATCGTCGTTTAGCACGGATAACAAAATTTATGTCGGGATGAATATCAACTTCACTTCGGTAATCCTGTTAATAATTCCCACCGGCAGGTTGTCTCATATTGGAAGCAGGAACCTCGTTCTGAAGTCTTTTCTGTGGATTTTAAATCCTCCCTTTATTCTGGAAAGCGTATGAATCCGGTTGTGTAAATACAACTATTGGGGATTTTTATGAATCTATGCACATAACCGTAACCAGTAAAAATTCAAGCCGATGAATTCTTAAACCCAGTTTCCGTTTATACGGGAACTATCCCAAAGGGAGGATCATCAGCCTAATAAATGTCTCCCAAGATGTAAAGGAATATCTACTGAGAACATGGAACACGTCATTCGCATGATAACCTAATCACTGATATCCAACCATATATATATTCCTATAGTATTTAGTTCTGAAATGTGCGGCTGAAGTAGAGTAGATCCCTAGGTATTTCTACACGCCAAAGCTTCTTGAAAACTCTCCTCAACCATAAGAAAATCGGGTTTCATTCCTGACCTATTAATTTTGTAGAAATATCATCATTCTAAAATTGCACCGCACAAACATAAACGGTGTTTTTTTTTATATATTTTAAAGACATTAACATGAAGCACATAATATGCCGTATATCACTTTCTTAGACACTGGAATAATCGAAGTGAGAAACATGGAACTGGTGTGGATGCAAAATCACATTTAAAAATTAATCCGGGTCGGCAAACGTGTCTCAAGAGGATGTATAAGCAGAAAAACGTCACAGTGAGATACTAGATTGGCGTAGATGTCTAAAAGTGTACCTTCACACAGTTTAGTCCATACTATTCGACCGTAACAGCATCAACTAACATGACATTTACTATTCGCCAAACACTGGGATGATAATACGATCAACGAACAATATATTTGGTCAAAGGCCAAGGTAAATTTATTGCAAACGCTGAGGGAAAATAGAGGATCGGAGAAATGTCTCAACACATCATTTGTAGATGGCTTTTTGTCTAACTTCCACGAGAAAAGCCTTTTAACACAATCAAAGTTGAATGGCTATTAAGCTTTTCGTGAGGAAAAGTTGGTTACTAATGCTTGCGTGGTCAGTTTAAAGTCAAGTGAAAGTAATAGGCTTTCGTAACGCAAATCCTCGATAATATGAAATGCGACCTGTTCATGCATTTAGAATAGGCTTACAAGTGACTAATTATTGCAATTCTTCCTGTCATTATGTACCCTTACTACACTATTGGTTTAATACCAATGGACCTGAATTATTTTTAAAAACATCTTGTGAAACTTAGATTACCTTATTTTTATTCAGACTTCAGAGAAAGAACACCATTCTAGTACTCACGAAGTCTAAATTTCAGTTAAGTCAATAATGTACTTTGAACTAAATACAATACTGTTAAACATATGAATTCCGAAGACAATGACTAAAGGGAAAAACTGAGGACCTTACGTGTTGTTGAGGAAAAACAATGAATTCAACAGGAGCCTATGCTTGGAAATTTACAAAGATGTATGTACACTTATTACAGAGATAGAGATATCTAGCTATTGAGTGATTGGATATCTCAAGCTAAAGGTCATTTGTCGATTCCTCTACTACAACTATTATCTGTTGAATTTTCGTAATACATTTAAACTCGGAGCTTGAATCATAGAGTGTGATATGCCAGATTAAATTATTTGAAAGAAATTATTCACATCCTGGTCAACTGGTATGGTGTGCTCGTTTTCCGGAGTTTACTATTGTCTTTCGTACACATACTGTATTATTTATAGAGTCAAATGTCTTGATACTTCCCAGAAAATCATCACAACATTATAACTGAGGTGTCTCGCTCGACGTTAAAATCACAATTAATTCCAAACTGGTACATAAAGTCCGATCAATTTATATTAAGTCATTGGAAAGATATTTTGACAGGAGAAATGTCAAAGTTGGATCTGTTTCAGTATTTTGAAAACAAAAGTTTCCGTAAAGTAGCTGTAAACATTTGTTTTAGGGATAAGTATATTACCCGCAAATTTCATTCAGTAAAGTGATATGATCTTAGGCAACACGTAGCTCGGCTAATAAGGATAAGAAACCAAGTCAGTTACTCAGCACATCGGGAATAATAGAAGTCGAACAACTTGTTTAAAATGACATAATAATAATTACGATTTTACTTTACAAGAGTCTTTAGACCATTAAAAACACATATATAAGGTTAAAACAGAAATATGTACACAGAATACTGAATGGAAGGAATAAATTCAGTATTATCCCTCGAGATTTTCTATACAAGTTACTGGTGCAGAATTCACACAATCTGAAAGGTAAAATCAGTGAGACGAATTCAAACAATATGCAATAGATAAAACAAAGAAATTACTAAGCAGATAAGTCAAAACTTACCATCATGATATTTTTGTAGATGTTGGTGATAAGACCATTCCCTTGCAAATTCGCGACGACAGTATGGGCATAAAAATGGCTTCCCAGCTAAAACAGATGACCCAAACACTATTTTATCAATATTATATCACAAAAGGTGCATCGTTATTGAATTTAAAATATCTACTGTGTTAAATCATATACTTGTATTTTCTAAAGAACATTAACACTTAAATAAAAGACAAAATCGAAACTATGAAAAGGCCCGACACTAAAGTTAGTAGGAATTGCACAAGTTTAGAGGGCACCCTAGATTAAGCTACCTGTAGTAGATAAACCATGAGTGATGCAACATCATTGTCTTGTAGGAATGGTGAGAGTAATTCGACTTACACCTTATCTACGTCCTCAAGAAACTTGAAGAGAGACCGGAGATAAGGTTGAATTGGACGGAAAAAGGACACAAAATTGAGCTCTATCAAATCGAAGTCCTTCTAGACAGTTTTGGACTTTATAAAGAAAAGCTGACATTTTTGTTGTCGCACTTATGTTCGATAATTTGAAATTTTGATTATAATTCTGAAGCTTAAACCAGAAAGCCGAGCAAAACGTTTAGGTCCTTTGATATCGATCTCTGAGAGCTTTGCAAAATATGATTTTACTCTTAATGACTTTTACGCACTTACCTACCAACTACTGTGAAATTATTCATTAGAAATTGGATGAGGGTTCGTTACATTTTAGAAATGACCAAGAAGTCTAATTTTAAGATACACAGAGACTGAGACCCATCATTATGATATCACTCAATAACAGAAGATAAATAATGTAAGAACCCAACAGGATATTTCCATATACCAGAAAAATGACTGTTGTAAGCAAACATACTATTACTCCACATGAAAAATTTTCGCCTGTTCATCGCATAAAATTATAATTTGAATACTCCTATTGACTGACATAATACAATAAACTAAGACGTTCATTAGAGGTTGTGTATTAACTTAATTCAATGTCCCGTAATAAAAACGGACTTTTTATTTAATTCATTTGTACTGGTTGTTTAAATCTTTCCATTAATGTTGATTGATCAATGTTTTTTTAGCATACGTGCGGATTCCCTAGATTCTGCCATAAAGTCAAAAGCATTTCTTAAGTACAGCTGACAAGTTACCAATAGAACAAGACGCGTGTCCTGACTTCCACTACTAACCATCACTTAACTCTAAGTAAAAATGATGTTTTATTTATTTTTAATAAAAGATTCTGCGGAGTAATTTAAACCGATGAAAACTTACTACAGAATAATATTTGATTAAAGAGAAAGCTTTAACAATTTTCCTTATGATTTACACCTTATATCCCTGATGACTTCAGTAACCTATGGAAATCTTATAACATAAGCAAGAAAGTTTACTATGCTGAGTTTGCCATAATTTTACGCACGACAGAAAATTTACGAATGATTGGGTTTAAATTCTCTCTGATATTCTTTGTTTTTTAAGTATCCCATATGGGTTTTTAAATTACTAAACTATCTACTAATATTGTACAAAACAAATAGAACTCCTTACCTCGATGAACCTCAGCAATATGACGATTTAAATGATATTTGCGATAAAACCTTTTTTCACATGCAGGACATTGATGCTCTTCTCTAATACCTAATAAGTGAAAGAAGCGATATTAACAAAGAAAAACTAACGTACAGATAAAGTGAGAAAGTAGACTAGTATGTTAATAAATAAATAAATTAATTAATTAAATAAAGAGATTATTTTTGATCACACTAAGTTTATTTACAAAAGTACATATAAAATGAAATTATCTGATACTACAAAGAATATTCATATTAAGATGAAATAGAATCTCATTCATACAGTCCTACTGCGTATAAAATATGATGTAAAAATAGTTAGAATTTTATAGCAAGGGGATTAACCATCCTAAGAAAGGATAAAAATCTAGAAAATTGCATGAATTATACATTACGTCAAAGTAATTTTTAATTCAGCAATCAACAATCTGAAACATGGATTTCTAGTTAAATTTCTCTCCTATCCGAAATACTATGTTTAACATGGAATTACCTGTTAGTTAAAAGGGGTTTCAAAGTTGTCTATCAATAATACTGGTTGTAGTTTTAGCAGTTCTATAACGTCAGCAAGTCGATTTGAAATTAACAAGAGGAATAGCAAAAGAGTCAAAGTAATAATAGAGCTGATAACAGAAGGAATGGATTAGGGGGTAAAAACTATGTAATAATATTGAAGCTCAAGACTTAAGAGAAGATACATGGTGAATGCATCTCCACCACTGTGATAGATTTTGATTTATGTCAACCAACATCTCGAACTACTGGTCATTATAATTGCACTAACCCCAACAAGTCATTTTGGATCCGCTAACACAACTCACTCCGATAGTCACTTATTATTTGACCTGATTTCATGTACTGGTTTGATCACGCCTAGTTTCCAGGTAACCTTTTCTTATTCCAGCCAACATTAGATGTTGGCATATTGTGGTTGCGAAAATATAATAATATAACCACTTTAGTAGACAAAAAATTGTTAAAAATTGAATCCGCTGAATATCGTGGTTCCAGTGGAAAATTTAAAACTAATTTACGTTGACAGGAATAGATCTACTTCCAATTAATTCATGTTCTTCACATGAACCTAGGATCTAATTTATTTACATAGTTTCACAATAAAATGTTAGTACAATACCAAATATGTGAAGACATATATACTAAAATAGTGTTTTTTGAGTTTTGACTAATACGAAAATTTCATCGGAAAATAACAAAACATTAAACATAACAGTGATTCTCTAATTACCGTCGTTAAAGAAATTAATAATTAGACTGAACGTAAAATTTACTTCATTTCTGACTACGCAAACGGTGAGACTGATTATCAAAATCTTTTAAATTTTATGAGAGAAAATAACATGGAAAAAATGGACAGGTGAAAAAATAAGTTGAATTAAAGAAACTGAATGTTTAAATTCATTAAGAAACAAGAGTACTCAGTGCATTCATGTCTTACTGGAGTGATATAGTTGATCTAAATATTAAATACTGAGAATAAACTGATACAAAGATCCAGGATCTAGATACCCAGCATCCTGAATATTTCAAATCACACTAACTAACATTTAATAAAATTATTAAACCGTGTGAAGCTTATTTGCTACTATTACCAATAATGAGACGATGAGAAGTATGATAAATAGTTATAAAGTAATTTTATAAGTCCTTGAGAATTAGTCACTAAAAATGAAATCTTAAGTTTAAATATAAGTTTTAACATATAATTAAAAACCTTAAAGTAACGATTGGAAACGTTATTATTTTTAATTGAAAGTGGTTAATTTTTAATAAATAAATACATTACAACACTTATGTATGTGTAGTTCTTAATTCTGTTGAACACTATGAAGGGGATAGCTAAATTCTTTTTAAAACAACTACTGTTAGATAATATTCAAACACTTTACGCGACTAGTGAATTCGACAAAAAAATTAATATCAGAAAATTATTAGTTGGATAATAACAATAAAGGCATACCATCATGAGCTTCCTGATAATGTCGTCTTAACTTATCCTGTCGGCTAAATGATTTTCCGCACAATGTACATTCAAAAGGTTTAGGATCTATTTACCAATAAAATATAAGAAAAATGAAAATTATTTACCATGTTATACAGATACAAGAGAAAACCGGGCATGAGTGAGCTCTATAACATGATAGTTTGCTCATTAAGACGCTCCATACATGAAGCATTTCTTTTAACTTCACAGCTAATTATCTGTAGTATTTGTTTAAGTCAAAACTTCAATTGTATTTTAAATAGCTTAAAATTATGTTTATTTTATTAGTATTATTTGGTTTGATCATTTCAACGAAACTGAACAATGGGTAGATAAATTATGATAAAAATTATACATTTACAGTATTTGTGAGTTGAAAATTGAACAAGATAACAGATGCCACAAAACGAATAGGTTTGTCCTAGAAAATCTTTAAAATTAATTTGAACAGTGGTCAGAAATACCAAGTGTCTTGGTTCGAGTCTGAGAACCATGTCTAACAATTACTTACATATTTTAAATAATATAGCATTAAAATTGATTGGGGTAGTGAAGAAGCATCCGTTTCTTCGTAGTATTGAACAATGGATTATCCAATTGTTCATTACTTGATTTTGATGGTATCTGCTGTTGAGTTTCTTGTCTTAATTTCCCACTACTACAATAAGTAGCACTAATTCCAACTCCTTGTTATGTTTTCCTGCCGACTTCTTTTGAAACTTCGGATGTTAAATGTGCCAATCTGTTAAACTTAATATTATCAAGATCTATTTGTTAAAACCCATCCTATCAACATGAATCCGGGTAGCCAAGTAGTACGTCAAGACCTCAGATACAAGAAGTATAGCTCAATTTCTGCTATACCATAATGAACTGAGTCGTGTCATCCAATTTAAATGTCTTTAATGATGAGTTTAGGGACTTTCACCAATAGTTTTACACCTATCAATATCTTGGGTAAAAGAGGTACATAAGTAGTGGTATGAATACACGAATATCGTTCGTTGACAGTACTTTACGCGTAACATACAGCTTCCAAAAATACTGGTTTATGGTTTGTTCGGAATTCAATGGGGATTAAATATGAAATCAGGAACATAAATTTGATATATGGATGTAACAAATAACTAAATTGCATCTAATTTCATTGCTACGTACATGTTGACATTAAGTTCACAAAAATGATTTTATGTTACTAAGAATTAATTTTGATTCTCATATACATAAACGTCTTAAATACGTTGCTAAAATTTTGAAAAATGACAAAAACATACTTTTTCCAACTTCGGTTTTATCTGCATTAAACTCTACCTCAACATACAAACCTGGTCCAGCCTAAAACAGTTTAAACAAAAACAGTTTTTAGAATGAACTTTACAGGAAAACAATAATAGCATTATCCTATCGTCTACCATATATTAGGGGAAAACTGAATACACTAAAGGACTCCATATGTTCAGCCTTACTCAATATGCAAACGGTAGGACACGACCACTAAAATATGAAGTTTATCCTCACACATATGAAAACTAAAAACATCAATTCAGATTTTTCTTATTGATTAGAATTGTGTATGATACAAAATAGTAGATACATCACCGAAATATGAAATTATGATTATTCATTGCAAAATTGGTTACATGCTCGGATGACGAATATAAGGAGTGATAAATTATGTTTCAGACATAAATAACGCATTTAAACGACCTGAATCCTGCTTAAAAGGACAATGAATGCGTCTAATATACGACTGATTCGGCAACAAATAGTAATTAAAAATAAGTAGTTGAGATGATATCAGTTGAAACTTGGCAGTATTTACAAGTCTACGTGATGAATGAAAGTAACGTCATAACAAGCACTGGTTTTCATCACAGAACGCTGAAGCAAACAATTAGAGAGTGGGAAAATTATTTTTTGAATACAATTTGATAAACTCATAGACCCCGAAACAACAGTGAGATCTAATGGCTTGAAAAAGGTTAAGAATAGGATAAATAGTATTTACTGGAAAATATAAGCCAACAATGTAGTGTATCCCAAGATAATTAGCTTTTTGTCTTCTAACAATTACTACGATACATAATCTTAATGTTTTTCTTATATCTATATACTAATGTATTTCTCAACACATCTTGGTCACTAGAACTAGATGTGCCAAATTTCTTGATTGTAGTTAAATGGGAAAAATGCATTGTTCACAGAAGAATATCAAACATTCCAAAGGATAGATTACTGGTGTTATTGTATTTTTAGGAATTCATAAAAATCTGTCCATTAACTACAAATTATAAAATCATTGAAACTTACAACATCGATTGAGTTCGAGTCCACTTGATCAATTTGTAATGATTGTTGCTGTTCATAATTATGTGAAAGATGATTACTAGTTGAATGATCATTATTATTATTGATTGTATCTTCGGATTGATTAAATAATAAAACTGAACCGGATGCAAACAACCCAGATTGTTCTGTAATATATGTTAAATGTTAAAATATAAAATAAATGAAAAATTCAGATTAAATCAATTTTTTTACTTTCAAACTAAAAACTAAAGTTTAGTTATTCTATTCATTTACCAAGTGCAGACTCATATACAGAGATTTGAGACACACTCTAAGTGGATAGGGCTAGTGATACTACTTGATTCTTCAAACTCAAGTACGTGAAACAAGATTCGAACTTGTGGTTTACATTTTGAAAGTTGAATAGTTCAACTACTTAGCCTCCATTGCACTATAGACTACGTTAAAAATAAACCTTTGTGCTTGTTATTGAAGGTTGAAAAACTACTTGGGAAAAGTAAAGAGAAAATAGGAATAATAGGAAGTGAAACTTATTGGACACGGCAAATTAAATAGATAGAAATACAGCCAAATATTTTGGGTGACATACAAAATACAAATTAGTAACTAATTAAGGATTAATATATGTCTTACACGGTAAACTAAATTTTGCATGAACGCTGATGAAACTACTGGGTTTTTCAGATAAAATTAACTAGAATGGATTAGAACCCAGTAAAAACTAAAGGGAAATCGAATGTATAAACGGAGTCAAAACTTCGAAACAATAGTACAAGTGTACTATCTATGATATTGAAATCTCATAAAGACATTTTGTTAGCTACTTGCAGAGAATTTAAGTGTGAAGTACAGTATTATTTTGTAAATATCCTTTATACTTTCAATTCGCAGTGGAAATCACTCGAAAAATTCTTTAAACAGATTAATAGACATACATAAAAACAAATGTTTAACCCTAATTAATTACTGAATAGGGTCCAATGTCATTTCATCTAGTCCTTTAATGCTGAACAAATCCTGCCGGTTGAACTACAATATGGTCACTAGTTTGAGTGACGCAAAATCGAGTGCACTATATTTCGATGTTAAATGGTTGGCATCAATCATGCAGTATCAGTTACCTCAAGATCACAGGTACATCTTGCTATAACTGTCGATTAGTACGATGCCTAAGTACGGGATTTCCCGTTGACTATCTCTTATCACCTAACATAGATATTTGAATGACGACCTTAATTAACAAGTATTAAAGTTGATTACAACTGTACATAATCGTTAGAAAATCAAAGAAAAGATAGTATAAACTAATAGTTTGTGATATAACTTCAATGCATACTGATTTTCAATAATTCTTCAGATGATATCAATTTGAGATGAAAATTATCTAAAAAAATTCCGTAGAATTTCAAATTGATTTTGTAGTATTTAAAATGGGTTTGCTTTTTCATCCGGAGTGAAAAGACAATATCTTCCATAAATCACTTATTTGTGTGTACAGATAAACCATTTATAAATTTCTCATATTTTCAAAAATGTAAAGAAATTTTAAAGTCTCAACAACATCATGAGGCTACTTAGATTAATATTGATAAGTCTTCTATTTAAAGGCTAGATTCGGTTCCCAAGCTCTTCTAGTAACCTTCAGGCTAAATCTACACAGCAACCTGAACATGGGGGAAAAGGCGTGAAATATAGAAGGAAACGCTTTACTCCAGAATATCTAGTGTTTTTACAGTATTTTAGATGTCCTTGGAGTGCTACTAAACGTAGTAGCAGTATGAGTACTCATCTAGTCAGAAACTCGACATATGAGTTATCGCTTTCTAGATGTTTCTGGCAAAACGTCTAGTGAACACTGATTGGATAAGATGCTTCTTAGTGTTTTCAGAGCCTTTCTTGGCTTTCTTCGAGATTTCTGGATCCCCCAAACACTATTAATAAAGAATTATGTTGAAATTTATTTATTATATTGTATGGATTGGGAAGTATAGGCTTTTCATTTTAATTTTCTGTTTTGTTTTAATGTCTACTTGCTTATTTTAATGAAAAGTAAATAACTAAATAAAACTTGACAATAATCATGAAACTATTTAATTTATAAGTCAGTATGTACAATGATCAAAGTAGTGGACCATTTATTTTGAAGTGATATTGTCCTATTCAAACAAAATCACATATATTCTTTTGAATACACAAATAAAAGGTGTCGATAATATCAACGATGAAAGCATTAATGATAAAGTGATTTTTTAAGAAAATGAAATTATTTTATAATGAATTTACAAAGGTTACCATGATGAGCAGTTTTTATATGATGACAAAACTCTGAATTTCGTTTAAATCTTCGATTACACAAACGGCAATGATAACCTTTGGTGACTAAATTATTATAAAAAAGGGAGAGAGAAGACAGGAAGTAAAAGTCATATTGTGAAAAAGAAAAATACACCATAAATATACGTAATTATCCCAAAGTATCAAAACAAAACTAGTTCACAGAGTTTAGGTCGATAAATATACAATAGATTTAAGTAATACCATTAAAAGCAAATAAATAAATAATGAATGGGATTTAATTACATAGTGTATGAGTATTCAGTTATTTATAACAGCTAACAGTATTAGGGCTAATGAAAACAACATTTCTTCAGTGTTGGTATAAGAACGACAATGTAGTTCCTATGGATCTAAATCCCATAAAATGGGCCACTATTAACTGGTCATAGAAATTAGAAAACCATGATCCAAATCATTGGTGTAGTGATCAAGCTTAATTGTACTTCAAAATACTGGGTCTAACATTTTAGATACCATAGAAGAATATTGGAAGATATATCAATTCGTTTTCAGTAAAACAAAGTTAACTCTAAAGAATTTTCAGCAGCTATGACATTTAGTTGCAGTTTACACCATATAAACTTGTACTGTTGATAAAAGACAATATCATTTCACGCTAAGCAAAATTTTGAAACATAAAATCATGTTAGTGTAACTCATTTAACACATAATATTTAGTAATCGATATACTAATCATTCTTCCTAGCCACTGAAACTAGTCAAAAAAGAGGCAGTTGGTTCTTTAAATTTATTTGTGGGACAAAAATGTCGTAATATATGGGAATATGTTATAACCTCTTCATTCTCTAGATGAAGTTCCCCTTTTAAAATTAAAAATAAATAACAGAAGCTCCCTGGATCTTTCTTTTCTGAGCATTATTAATGGTTATGTACATTTTTCTGTGTATCTTTACAATGATGTAGTACTATATTGTGTGGCGCAACTTGTGGTTTACACATTGTAAAAGCTTCTCAACTAAATAAATCTTAATTATTGGTTGTGATTCCTTTTTTCAGTCAACATTCTTACAGTGCTATACTTGGTTTCTAGATAAATCAATCACACATTTAAACCAGCATTTTATAACCATTATTTAAATTTTTTCAATACAATTTTTTTACTCAGTATCTATTTTCTCTTGTTCCCTTTTGTTAGAATTCTCTCTTATTACAACCCAGCTATTCCTATTGCATAGTATTCTCGGACACCAATTCACTCGACAAGTCCTCAAATCAGAACACTGTTGAACAGGAAAGAGATTATATTCCAAGTAACAAGGTTAGATGGAAGTAAGAAGCACAATAGGGAAAACGTTAGTATATTTATAGTTTTTGCATGAGATTTCTAGATTGTTCTCCAAATACTGACTAGCGCTGATTGGGTAAGAATTAACCAATCAGCGTGCACCAAAGCAGTCGTGCATTGGGCATGCTTTAATCCAATCTATGTCCCGCTAACACCTTTCATCAACATTAAGACAATGAAGTTCAAGGGTTCACTAAACACTCATTTTCGATTAAATGTCACTCATATGTAAGAGTATGCTTTCATTACAATCTATACTATTTATGTCTTCTAGCCATTTGGTTTTAAACTATTCATTCTGAGAATAAAGTACTCTTGGTTAACATACAGATAAATTATGAGAGAAATATATTGGTCTATTCATTTTCAGGAATAACATAATATTTGAACACCATCAATTTTAAGGTGTTAAATCATATTTTTCGTTAAGGTATACACATATAGAAATATTATAAAACATATAACATTATAAGTCTTCATAGTTATACACAACTTACGAGTATGAACATCATTCATATGTCGGTTGTAATGTTCATTACGAGCAAATTTTTTAAAACACAACGAACATTCATAGTCTTTTATCCCTACAATAAAAACGATAGAAGATACTTCATAGTAAATGACATGAGAGGAAAGGAGATTGAATGAATTTAACATAATGTATTTCAATATTATAATAACACACTAATTATATAAAATTAGAAAACGAATCTTTTCTATCCAGTCCAGACTAGTCATCTCAATTTTCAAACCAGTATGATAATAAGTGTGAAAGTTAATGAAAACAATAAAACATTTAATTTTAATCAGTTCAGAAGAATAAACTTATGACTTCAGAAACAAAATCATTATCAGCAAATTAAATACATTGAAATTTAATTATACATAGCAGTCATTGATGAGAATTTTCTAAATAGAATGTAATTAAGCATAAAATACACAGTACCTTCTTTCTTATATTCTTAAATACTAAGAGAAATATTACCCATTTACACTTGAAAACTAACTCTAAGTAATGATCATAAAATAAACTAACTCTTTTTCTGCTTGTTTACTGGTAGTATTTAACAAACTATCCTGATTACTTCAGAAAACGTTGTATACTTCAGGAAACTTTGATGATCAGCTTATTCCTAGAAAATTGCATTATAGTATCATAGTAGTTGATGTAATACAAAAGCTACTTTGAAAAACTGTGAAAACCGGATTCTTAGATCATGCCAAAGCCTTTTTGTTAAAAAACTGCAAACTGTATGATTGTAGAATCAGATTAGACGATCTTTAGCAATTACATTAGACAATAAAACTCAGGATATAGAAAAGAAAATTACTAATACAAAAATAGGGAGATAATGATAATGGTAAACTAACCGTAATGACATTCAATCAAATGTCTTTTGATTTTGTCACGACGCCTGAATGTTCGAGTACACAGAGAACACTTAAAAGATTTAGAACCTATGCACAAAGTGAATGATTAAGTTTTTAATGCATTTGTACATAACTGATAAAGTATTGTTTTAAAAATAAATAACAGCATAATAATATATAACATTATGGGACCGGGTAAATTTATTAATTATGAAACATATTTTTAGGTTACCATGAATCCACATTGCCGATTCTGTAATTTTATCATTCATTATTAATGATACCTACGATATTCATTATCAATATTATGCTCAACTAAATTCGCTCCTTCAGAATACTAATTATCTACACTTTTCATTCGATTAAGGCAATACATTTCTGAGAGAACATCCTTAACGTGAGGGCAGATACTTTCTTGAAGAACTGAATCTCTACGTATGATAAGGGTATCATTTACACAGTTGAGAGGTTTCATATCATGAAGAAACACCTATTTCCTTCTTCCTGACCTCTCGTGGTTTTCTTGCTGGTGCAATGAATGTCGATTCCAAATTTTACGAAATTTCCATAAAAGCAGATACATCTACTGTATATAGTTAAATGAGGTTTAGAACTCAAGTGAGTGAAATCGAAAGATAAGAAGATATACAAAACATCTAAAAGAAGTTCATGGAGAATTCGCGAAATATACCTCATTTTTAACTCATGCTATCTTTTAGCAGTAAATATGGTCAACCAATATAATCATTACCTGCCAGACATACATGTATCTACATAAATCCTTGAATACAAGACGAGAGAATAGCTGAAAATGTAATGAGGTTGTAACAAGTAAGAAATTGGGATAAACAAAAGAAATAATAGGTAGTCAAAGGCGATATTTTATAACGCGCATACAGAAGCATACCCCAATCTATACAACTCAGGTCAACAGTCAATAACTTTTTAAATTAGCGTTATGTTTAAATTTTCGTAGGAAGACAGCATCTTCGTAGATGCTGGTTTCTTGAGGAAAACTCCGTATTTCCATTACAACTGAGTAGTCAGCAGCAATACTTCACCCTCAGACCTCCAGTTTGCTGCTTGGTTTACCGTTCTTCAAGCAACTTATTTCATGTGGTAGGACACGAAGTAACAATTATTCCAGCTAATATAGATCGATTCATCACGAAATACAAACCCAACCACAACGTAAAGTCGGCAGCTGCGCGATCCGATGAAAACTTTACATATCTTTTAGATATTTTATCGGATGAATCAAACATCAGGTTATAAAACAATAATATCATTTTCAAATCTATTTATTGATTTCTATATTAGTATCCAATTAGGTGCTGTTTAGATGAAGGGTTTTGTAAGAATAAACACACTATCGAGAAATACGATTTTTACACCATTTTCAAGAGCGTAAGAAATATTTGTTTACTTACTCAATAATATATCAAAGAAGTAAAATTCCGAAATGTTAGTACTATAAATTCAGTAGTTCTTAGACAACCAGCGTCACCAAAGAACCAATCTAAACCGTTAAAAATACTAAAACAATTTACGTTGTTGTTAGGTATTGTTGGTATACGCCTACTGAAACTGTTTTAAAGCGTATTGAATAAACGGTTAGTCACTAAGTCTTATTACAACTGAAGTAAAAAAGTGTTAATTTGGTGATCTTACAGGGTAATATGATTTGACAACGATGGTGGTTACTCGTTTAAAAAACTTATACATTATATGGTTTGAATGGTTTTCTGAATGCTACCCGGAATATTAAAAAAAACTAATAGATTATATCGGTAGGTTATTATATGATTTAATAAGTTACCAAAACGCTACCTTTGCATAGAAACTCCTGTATATCTTGAGCAATCCGAATATTGATAGGGATCGGCTGAAAATTAATAATAATAGATGAAATCAACTAAGACATTGTATCGAAGATGTATCATTTAAAATCTAGTTTCTAATTACCGTTTCTTTCACCATAGTTTACTTTACGGATGAGCATAGGTTTATTTGTTTGTTTTGAATTTTAGAACATCTGGTATCATATAGTACAGTCCAAATGTTTGGAAAACGATGAATTAAGCACTGGTCATATTTTGGACCTCATAATTGGTATACTTTATTGTTAACTCAGCCTGAATCATATGTTCAGTTCCTCATCATAACAATGTAAGTAAAAGCATCTAATTACGAATACTTATTTGCAATTTTAATGAATTGGAGGATTTGGAGTTGAGAGGAAATTAGCATCATTCACATGAGTGAATAAAGTTATCGCACACAAAGCACTAAATCATACAAAATAATCCGAAAGACATAATCATATATTGGATAACATACTGGAATTTTAGAATTGATAGTTTTCTTAGTAAAACAAAAGCGTAACAATAAATTCTTATAACGACCAATAACTTGGCAGATAAGAATGCAATGGATTTTTAATTTATACGGCGTAAAAACAAAAATTCATTCTAAAAGACCCAATTGTTTGGATTAACTGATAAATTCTAGACGAGTGAGAATGGTTTGATTAAGGTCATATAATTTTTCAAGGCTTTTTCACTGGGAAAAACTTTATAAAACTGCCTTCATATTTTACTGACGTCACAGAGAATAAACAGAGAGCTGTGAGAACTTTATTTAAATGGCTGTTTTACAAAAACTTTTTCGAAGCCCTTATACATTTCAAGCCACGATGACAGGAAACCTACTTAACTACACATCGAGTACATATATGATAGTAATCACATAAAACAAGGTGCAACCAAAATACATAAGTATAACCTAGATCGAGAAATTATAAACTAGTTTTTGAGTGTAATTCGGAAAACATTTCAACGAAATCTTCAGGAAGTCTCCATATTTTTTCACTTTTTACTACTTCGAGTCATAAAAACATGTTGTTTATGATGTCGAGAACAAGCAAAAAGATATATTTAAAAACAGCGACCACTGAACACCGTAGAGAATAGGTGATAATGTATATTACTACGTATTTTACTAAAAGAGATAAGAGTTCCGAACAGGGCTGTAAGTTGTCTAGCTTCTTTATTAACAAGAATACTATAACCGCATATCTATCAATATTTTGAGAAATTGACATCGAGGATACAAAGGGAAACTACCTGAGTCATAAGGGATTCTGTAATATCATTTTGACAGGATGACGCCAAAGAGTTGTCTAATGGTCCTTTGTTTAGTTCTCCTTCTTCCTCCATAGAGTAGAATATGTCGATAAACTCAGTGTTTCGACCAAGTTAATTTTTTAGTTATTTTAAACCAAGTAAAGAATTCCACAATTTTCCAGAGCACCTGGATAAAAATGAACAGAAAAACATCATTGAGCAAATAACGTAATTCAGAGAGGCTTATCTCGACATATTCAGTTAAGAACATAGGGTGTGAGCAAACACCCGATTTAGTTTGTTGAAAAAAAAAACACAGGAAAATGGTCTTTAGGCAAAGTGAAGAAACTTGTCGATCGTAAAGGCATCTTGGAGAAGGAAACAATGACGTTTGGTTCTTAGCCTTATAAAATCCTCATTTGAACAGATTTATAAGCATCTGAAATAAATAGGAATGGGACTTTAAATAAAATATCTGTTCTATGACTAAATAATAGGCCAAACCAACTGAGACCACTAGGTGCTCATCAAAAGCTAAACTGCTACAAAAATAGGGGAATGAACATAATAGAATGGTTGTGAAGATGGGACAAAAATGCATTGGTTAAAGTACCACCCTTCTAAGCAGAAACTAAATTAATTCACCAGTAAGGGAAGGGATTTTATTGAATGATGTAGTTTTATCTACACTTTGTTCCCATGCCTTTTTTATTTTAAGTGAAAAACTAATCAGTTTAAAAAGTGGCACTGTACTATATTTGGTGTTTTATTGTAATAACACAAAAAGCTTTTTTAGTTTCCCAGCTAAACAAAAAATAACATTGAGTTTTCGACTAGAATAGGCTCTTGCCACTTTGGATTCGCAGAGTACCAGTCGGATATACAAATACGTCTATGGATGAGAACTCAACGATGCCTATTTCACCTTAATTTTCTCCAAATCTACATACAATTACTAAACAAAACACCAATTAAAGCAGCCAACAAACTCTTGGAGCACTTTTTTTAGATTATGATTATACCTAGCATCCTACGATTAAAGCTTTACGCAGTTTGACACCTACTATCAAATGGTCCTAATGAGAAAAACAAATGATAGGCAAACACCAAAGTCTAAGGAGGGAAAATACCGAATCGCTTATTAGCATTGATGTTACGATGGTATGGTGCAGAAGAATAGTTTAAACATGACTAACTAGATAAGTGAATATCTCATCCGTGATAGAAACTATTCAGAAATTTAGACGAATCATGTTTTATTTTCTCTAAAGCTTATCGGGGCTAAATTGATCACTACTACAGTCCCATAAAAACCCATTTATTATCCTATTTCTGTTGATTAGAAATGATATTTGGATACGGTGATCACGATTTTAAATTTGCGTACGTAAAACTTGGCAGCTGCAGTAGGACACGCTTGTGGCCCCCTGAATGCCCTGGTACGGCCGAGAGTGGGGAGAGTCCGCTCTCCCTCTCGAAATACTCTCACACGGCCACGCGTATACAGCCTCTGCCAGGGAAGTCCTACTCATTGCCTTCTCGTGGCGGGGGTGTTGTTTACGAAAATGAGAGGACGAAAAGCGAATGTCCGGCGCTTTAACCGGATTCCAAATCAATGGTGCACATGGGCTCCAGTATCCTGCGGGAACGAATGGCGTATGAACCAATCGTTGGTCACCGGCTACCATGGGACTGCATCTCCTTACGATGCTCCACTGCCTTGTGGGTTAGACCTTTAGGTCAAAGGCTCGGGGAGTGGCCCCCTAAGATAACCACCTGCTTCGGTTTGGGCACCCGGGCAGTATCACAGCCCACACACAAATGATGAACTCTTTATGTCTATGGAAATTACTTTTTCGCTTTGAAAAACAAACAATTGATTCAGATTATTATCATTACAATTATTGTCATTATTAATACTAATATTATTATTACTACTATTATTGTCATTATTATTATTATTATTATTATTATTATTATTATTTTCCACATTATTCACCCTCTTTTATACTTATACAGCGGCTCGTCTTTGGTGGAAATTCGACTGTATCTAAACGTTCTCGAGTCACTGTCCGGTTGAAAATTGTATGTTACCACCGAATACGAGGACTGAAGCAGATTTTCTGAAACCACGTGCACCATTCAAACTGGCTGCCTTCAACGTTCGCACATTTATGCAGGTCGGACAACAGATAGGGCTGGCTATGTCTTTGGAAAGTCTTAATATCGACGTTTGTTGTCTATCCGAGACCCGTATTCAAGACTCTGGCGAAGTACTACAAATTCGATCTCCATCTGTCGCTTCGAAAAGCTTGTTTTACGTGCGCTTATCCGGGGACCCTGTGGCATCTTCGTCTGGTCTTGCTGGCGTTGGTGTCGCACTAAGCGCTAGAGCTGAGGCAGCACTAGTCGATTGGATCCCCATTAACAGTCGGTTATGTGCTGTTAGATTAGAAAGTTCCATCAAAGTGAGAAGAAATCGGCGTGAGAAACGATGTCTTTTCGTCATCTCCGCCTATGCCCCGACAGATTGCAGCCCGGATGCAATCAAGGATGAGTTTTACCACCAGTTATCAGTTCTTCTCCAGAAAGTGCGTTCGACAGATATTGTAGTACTAGCCGGAGACTTGAATGCTCAGGTCGGGCGTCTAGGCACAGAAGAGAGTCGTTTAGGTGGCCGATGGGGACTCGTTGGTCGCAGGTCAGATAACGGGGACCGTCTACTGCAACTGTGCACAGACCACAACCTGTTTCTGGCTAGCACTAACTTTCGGCACAGTCATCGCCGATGTGCCACCTGGCGTCCTCCCTCTGCATCTCAAGCCTGGACTCAGATTGATCACATCGCGATCAGCTACCGCTGGCGTGGTTGTGTACAAGACTGCCGCTCCTTTTGGAGTACCTATCTGGACTCTGACCATGCCTTGGTCTGCGCCAATCTTGCCTTACTTTTCAGTGGACAACGAAGTGATCGCCATCAACGGATTGATGTTAGCAAGCTGGTTGCAACTTCTGTTGCAAGTAAGTATCGAACCGAGCTAGCCTCTAGGCTAGCTACCACTCCACCGAAAAGTATAGATGAGCATTGGTTGCAATTGCATGACGCCATGAAAATGGCGGGAACAGTCAGTTGTGGGTTTGCGAAACGTCCCGCTTTTAAGCACTGGGTTTCTTCTGGTTCCTTACAACTCATTGAAGCCCGTCGGTCTACTCCGGGTGACCGTGAGTTTGACCATAAACGAAGGATGTTACGTAAGGAAATTGGGCAAAGCTTGCGTAAGGACCGAGAAGCCTGGTGGTCGATGCGTGCTAATGAGCTGGAAGCAGCAGCTGCATCTGGTAACTACCGGAAGCTCTTCCAGCTCATCCGAGCCACTGGCAGCAAGAAGTCTGGTGTGAGTGAAACAATCTGCGAGGATGATGGGATGCCAATCACTAACATCCATCGACGTCTTGGACGATGGGCAGAATTTTTCGAAGGGCAGTTCAACTGGCCTGCTGCTCCGGCAACATCGGTCAGACTGTCCTGCCCTCCATGGCCGGTGACGACTGATCCACCAAACGAGGAGGAAGTCCGCAAGGAACTCCAACTCTTGAAGCGTTACAAATCACCTGGCCCAGATGACTTACCTCCGGCTCTTTTTAAAGATGGTGGTGACTTTTTGACTAAGGAATTGACGACGTTGTTTACAAAGGTTTGGGAACTAGAGTGTGTACCAACGTCATGGAATGAGTCGATAGTTGTCCCTATCTTTAAAAAGGGTTCACGTCGTTCTGTAACAACTATCGGGGGATAAGTTTACTTCCGATTGCGTCCAAGCTATTGGCTTCCGTCATTCTTCGTAGGTTGTTCAAAACCCGAGAAAGATTGACTCGCGAGGAGCAGGCTGGGTTTCGTTCTGGTCGAGGATGTATTGATCATATCTTCACCCTCCGCCAAATGTTAGAACACCGCCATACTTTTCAAAGGCCAACAATCGTAGTGTTTCTTGACATCAGGGCTGCCTTCGATTCGTTGGACAGGACTGTTCTCTGGGATTGTCTATTGAAGAAGGGTGTGCCTGAGAAGTTTATTAACATCCTGAAAGCCCTATATAAAAACACCTCAGGCAGAGTGAGGGCATACAACCACCTCTCTCCATTGTTCCATTCGAGCAGTGGGGTTAGGCAGGGTTGCCCAATCTCACCATTCCTCTTCAACTTTGCCATCGATGACATTCTGGAAACAGCTCTGATGAATGTAAGTAATGGTGGTGTGGATCTGTTGCCTGGAGAAAGACTTCTCGACCTTGAGTATGCGGACGATATTGTCTTACTGTGCGATAATGCCCAAGGCATGCAATCCGCACTTAATCAGTTGGCAATCAGTGTCCGTAGGTATGGTATGTGCTTTGCACCTTCGAAGTGCAAAGTACTTCTACAAGACTGGCAGGATTCTAATCCTGTACTCACCCTGGACGGTGAGCAGATAGACGTAGTTGAGAAGTTCGTGTATCTGGGTAGCTGCATAAGTGCTGGTGGGGGTGTGAGTGATGAGATCAATGCACGAATAGTGAAAGCCAGAGCGGCTTATGCCAATCTGGGCCACCTTTGGCGCCTTCGTGATGTTAGTCTGGCTGTAAAAGGTCGGATCTACAACGCGTCGGTGAGAGCAGTTTTGCTCTATGCTTGTGAAACCTGGCCTCTCCGAGTTGAGGACGTTAGACGACTCTCTGTGTTCGATCATCGCTGTCTCCGAAGGATTGCTGACATTCAGTGGCAACACCATGTCAGTAATGCAGAGGTTCGGCATCGTGTGTTCGGGCACAGAGATGATAATTCAATTGGTGTCACCATCTTGAAACACCGACTTCGGTGGCTTGGACATGTTCTCCGAATGTCGTCCCAGAGAATTCCACGTCGTGCATTATTTGCCGACTCTGGGACTGGTTGGAAGAAGCGGAGAGGTGGTCAGTGCATGACATGGTGTCGTGGCATGAAAGAAAGCTGCAAAGGACTGGCTTGTGTTGGTCCTTCACGACTCCCTGGTTGGGGTCCGAGAGATGGTGCTACACAGTGGCTAGAGACGTTATCAGATATGGCTCAGAATAGAAGCCAGTGGCGATCCTGCTGTAACCTTCTTTTACTTTCTTCATAAAAAGTGGTTGTGTCTCCTTTACCTGAAAGATTTCTTCTGATTGTACCTTTTCGTTCCGTCGTTACTACCACACTACCTTACTCCAATCTCTTCGTCATTGTTCTCTTTTTCTTTTGCGCTCCTTAGTTTTTTTTTCTACTTCTCTTCGAATTCTCATTGTTTTGTGTGGCGCATATATATTGGCGCTCTCTTGTACCAATATTCATGTGTTCAAATAAAATAAATAAATAAACACGCTTGTGCTTTATGTACCTAAAGTGGCAAAATACATTTGGAAATTCCTTCTAACATTAGTTGCATTATTCTATCTCATTACTTTATTTGACAGTTTTTGTGTTATCTGTGTAACACACCTTTTGACACACACATAACGAACATTAGTCATTGGATAGCCATATAAGCTCAACTGGTCACATTATTAGAACGTTTTTACGCCAGATTACCGTGCTTAGAATAAAAAGCACAGCTATGATTAAAAATCATACCGAACATATGGCGCTGATACATAGTTTTAGGTATGATGACCAGCAGGAACATTTTCAGCTACTTGGTATGATGATTGACCGTTAGTATTTGGTTTGCTGAACATAGTAGCCTCTGAGAAAGATACGTTGGCAAATATACATCTAATAAACAAAAGTCGAAAGGTACTGTCCTTATAGTGTTGTATAACACGTCCCATTGGATATCAACTACTGGGTCGTTGATAACTGCTTTTCTCAGTCCATGCCATTAACATTCAAACATTTTCACATTAAAATTTCTCGTAAAGCGGAGATAAAAACGGACATAAAATTCTTTTGATTAAAGACGTTTGAAAGTGAATTGTTATGTTAAAAAAGTGGAAAAGCGCAACTAGCATGGGTAAGATGTTATTAGAATGATGTTACTTAAAATGCTTTGGCGGAAAGTAACTGGATATGGCATAGAAGTTGAAAGTCGTGAAGTTCATTGAGATAAAGAAGACTACTTATGTATAAGAACAAGTGGATATTCCTATAAATGCATTTACGCTCGTCTTTAGTGTCCCTAAAAAATAGTGCATTTTGGACATGGTTAGCTTTTAAAAAATGTTCGCCGCAGACTTAACCAATATTGATTAGGTTGTCGCAAACACATCTACAATAGCAAAAAGTTTCGTGTCAGGAGGTTTGTGTTAAGAAAAATTTTTAAAGTTCAACAAGCAATTAAAATGCAAACCAGATTACTAGATATCACTTGTTAAATACTATTGTTAGACCAGTAGCGTATGCTTTGAAATAGTACTAACAACCAGTATCAAATACCAAATATCTTTGAAACATAGAGACATTTGCGTATATGCTTGGTTGATGTCATTTCGTCATCATAATCATTGTCATCATCACCGCCACCACAATTAAACGTAAGCTTACCATCAATACTTCTCCCGCCTTCACAGACAGCACCTGTTCCAAACCCGGTGTCTGTAATGAATGATATTAATATACATATTGACAATAATATTGTTGACAATAGCAATACTTCAGATACATCGAACAATCTAAAGCAGATGATTTCTGTCTGTAATATGGTAAGTGTTTAACTATTTGGTGACACCCATAGAGTAGTGTAATCGTCCACATGATAGTGAAATTCAGTTGTTTGGTTTCTTAATTTGTAGGGCCGACAGACTGAACTATATGGGTGTAGATTTATCTTGTACATGTAAAGCACTTTAACCATACGAGCTGTTGCGACAGTAACACGCGGCCCAGGGACATGCAAACTGGTGCACTGCCCTCGGAAATGTAAACGGAAATATGTTGAATTACTTGCAATACACCGCAGTTCAGAATGTAAAATAGATGGGCTCCTCCTAAGCAAAACTTACATCTTGGTCATACATGTGTAAATCTTTTTGGTAGGTGGCATCTCCAACCATCTACAGATTTCGGAAACCTAAAAGTATGGTCATCAAAACCACCATTTGATTACAAAGTGTTAGAGACCACAACCGCCTTAGTTTTATTCCAGCATAGAGATCCCTCGAGATATGACTTACATAACTCCTCGCCTCTCTCGGAATTCATCTTCACACACGGTGATGATATCAGTCAAGCAACTTTCTTCTCAGCTTTGGGATGAAGTGATCATGAAATCATCTCATTCAAGTTCATGGCTGAACTAGCTTGTCAAATATTTGCACCAGTCCTAAACATATGGAAGACAGGGATGTAGGCGATCAACTCTGCAGTCCTGGCTGAATTCCAAATAGGCGACTCGGGATATTATCAGAATAGGCATGGACTTATCTCCGGAACTTATACAATCAAGTATACCCTGGACAGTCCCAAAGAAAAAGAAGCACGGCTATCTCGGGATGGGTTAAGATGTTCGACGTTTACCAATACAAAGAGAGAAATTTCGGAAAGTCTCCATCAACCTTGACACTGAAAGTGCAATAAAACGCTACAGGCGGGCAAAAAAACTGTGTAGTCACAATCCGTGAAGGTCAGTAAAAAGATGAGAAGTAGTTGGCTCAATCTGAAATCATACATAAATTAAAAACAAGAACTCTGCATGGGATTCAGAATCTATTTAGTGAAGGGAGTGGATTTGAAATGATAGATGATGATCAAGAAAGAGCAGAGGCTATGACAAACTATTTTGGGACAGTTTCCATTCAGTAGTTTCTTCTCGACGAAGAACTAGACCCGAATTCAAGGTCACAAAATCAGCTTTCAGAGTGGACTTTGGTCGAGACGACTTACTTAAGGTTCTTAGCACTTTAGGTAGGGAAAGATCAACAGGACCGGGTGAACCATGCCCTCAATTCTTGAGAAAATTTTCACAATATATTATATTCACACTGACTACGATATTCCGTATGTCACTTGACCAAGGTGAGTTCCCAACGGATTGTAATAATGTAATCGTCACTCGAATATATAAAACGAGATCAATACAACTCTCACCAAACCACAAACCTGTCAGTCTTACTAGTGTATTAGTTAAAATACTGGAAAGAATAGTCAAGAAGACCATGGTATTCGTAGAAACCAACTTGTTAAATATTGAGAATCGTGGTTTCAGGGAATAATCATCTCACACAACAAATCTCTTTATAGCAAGAGAACAATCGAGAAAGGCGCTAGATATTGGAAAACCAGTGGATATTCATCTACATAGACTTCAGTAAAGCATTTGAAAAGGTGCCAATAAATAGACTGCTCTTGAAGCTGGAAAATCTAGACATTACCGGGCGTCCACTATAATGGTTTAAGGATTTCCCGGTAGGTCGTAGACAGAAAGTCAGAGCGAATTCCAATTGCTTTACCTGTAGACCAGTACTTGGTGGAGTACCTCAAGGTTCTGTCCTAGGTCCTTTATTTTTGATGGTGCATGTGAATGAACTCTCAAGTGTAGCTGAGTCCCCAATGTTATTATACGCTAATTACGTAAAAATTTGGCGAGAAGTAATGGGAGGCTCAGATGCATGAGCACTTCAGAAAGACTCAAATATTGAGATTAGCTTGTCTAAAGAGTAGCTGATGCTTATTGACGAGGCAACTTGTGTCTACATGCACATTGGGGATATAAAGGTAAATAGATGTGCCAGAGTGCAAAAGTCATTGTCCACATCTCGGTTTCACAAGGATCTTGAGGTGACAATAAGTTATGATTTTAACGCCGCGGACCACTTCCTCAACTAAACGGTTTATAACCAATGGACTTTATTCTGGGTATTTACCAAGTTAAATGCTACTATGTTTATTGCGGTAAACACTACGTTAGTGAGATCCAAACTTGAAAACTGAGTTCAGGTAGTAAGCCTCTATTTAAGAGGTGGCTTAAATGTCCTGGAAATGGTACAGAGGCCAGTTTCCTGTGACGCTCTAGACATCCTGGGTTTACCATACAAAGAGCGGCTTCAAAAGCTGGACCAATTTACTATGTCCTATCTCAGATTAAGAGATGATCAGATTTTGACATTAAGAATACTGAATGATTTTGGAGCTGACACATTCTCTCTTTTTCTTCCGACCAGATCAGAACAATTGCAAGGACATAGCAGGCGAAAAGCAAAGCCAGGAACGAACTAAATACCCGTAGCATACCGGAAGAAGTAGATATTCACAGGTCAACTTTGCTAGATCTTGATGCTTAAACAAGTTTATTGCGCTGAAGCATGGAAATGCTATTAAAGCTTGTTAATAAACCATCTTAGCTGATGATTAGTAACACCCATGATTACATATACTTCAACACATCAGACATTATTCAAATAACTCTGCGTCTTTTCATTCCTGGAATTTGATTTGATTGGCTTTGCAATCGTATTATAATAATTCTTATATAACTAGGGTAATAATAAAGAGTAATAGTTGTTACAAGCAACGAGACGTACATCATGTCAGACGATAAACGTACAACCCTGTTTTTTCTGCTATGTGGTATGATTGATCTTTATTACAGGCGAACGACGATAAATTGCAAATACGTAGATAATTGTCGAGTAACCTGTTGAAACTGTCTTTTGAGTGCACTTTGTTCATATCAATCGGTAGAACGTTCCAAACAGGACGGATATGATGTTGGGAAATGTTACCTTCCTGTCCCAGAATTGTACAACACTTTCAAAAATCATATGAATCTTTCTATTCAACTTTTCTATACAACGTGCCATTATACAATGAAGGAAAGATTTTAAAAAAAATTTTAAAATAAAAAATACACTTCAATCCATTATGAGAGTCTGTGGTATTTCAAACAACATAGGTGTAGGATCCATTTTGAATGTTTTGTGTGTGTGTGTGAAAATCCCTCCATTTACTTTGTTCACTTTGTTCCTATTGATCCACGTAGTTGTAAATTGTTAGTTTTTTGATTACATTTGAATTGGTAATACTTGTGTTTTATTATAGTTTCTATTTTTATTACGCCTTCACTAAGTCTCCGTGTTTCTTCCCGAACTGCACTTACGTTTTTTTACTTTATACTTAGACTTGGAGGCAGCCATATTCGTTGGTTCCTCCTTTTGATTGCGTTGCCTGTGTTGACTGGAATTGTGCATTTTTGGTTGTGAATTGAGGCACTCTTCCAGAATTGGAAACACTGTGTTGTTATAAAGCGACCAAATATTATCTTTTGAACGAATCTGTGCGTGGTCTATCCAGACAGGATAGACTAACATTTATTTGTTGTGATTAGTAATATTCTTGCATCTTTCATCAACTTCCTTATTTATTGTAATTTAGATTTGATTAATTGAACAATTATTGGTTGGATAGCTGAGTGGTCATACCTGTTTAGGTAACGATGTACATTTAAATTTATGATGAATTATAGAACTGTCATTTTACCTAATAACTTTGTTTTGGTTTCAAACGGGCAAGGGCGCGTATTTAACCCACCTAGTCAGCTATTCTTCAGTCCAAACCTTAGTTTGGATCCTACAATAGGCTTTAGACTGAGTGCCCATTAACGACTTTGTAGTGGCATTGGCTACTAACCACACAATCTTTGAAGCCGATCATATAATTACTGGGATAATTTATACCCAATATGTAACACTTACAGAGGGTCAAAAATGGTGGACGTGGCGACGATGAGTCGAAATTGCATGATTATGTAGTTGCGTCATGACATAACTAAACTCCTTGGATTAGGTCTATTATTATATTAACAAAAATATATGTACTAATGTAAAATTAGACCATAATTCCACAACATTCTTAGAGAATTTCTGACAATCAACATATGGTAGAAACCAACTACACCAGTATCTAAAAACACAAGACAAACTCTAACTTCGAGCAAAGATAATCAGTGAGTGACAACTTTGACTTTAGCTTGTTTGATATTCCAACACCAGATTGTGTAACAGCTAATATAGATGCTAGGATTACATTACGTTTTGCTATGAAAATATAGTGTGTCGCAAATTTATGTATGCCTGTTGGTTAAGTTACATATTTAGGAAGATAATCTTCAATATCTTTTTAGTTTTGTCTCGACCTTCGTATTATTTTTGTTTTTATCATGTATAAAGGATTGTAATCAATCACATGTCTGGAGTGCTATTGTGCTGGGTTTGAATAATGATACTCTCGGTAAGCTACGGAAAGCTGCTTGTAAGCATGTTTTGTGTTGTTGTTATTATTATTATTATTATTATTATTATTATTCACAAACATCTTATGGGTACATAAGTGTTGTGAAGAAACCATTTCGGGTTTATTCAAAAAAATGCAATAATACGCAATTTTCAATAATGTCAGCATTCTACTGGCCATTTAAAAAAATAAAAAATAAAAAAAATTTTGAGCAATAATAGTAGAATATTAATAATAGCAAATCGGGTCTGTGCAATTGAGAAGAATATTGAATTGAGTCTAAAGAAGGAAATGCAGAAAATAAGGGA